CTACCCTAAAAAAATCCACCAAGATCGGATAACATTCATTCGTTATTGAATTGCTACCACATGCCAAGATTGACAAGAAATCAGCGACACCAAGCCCTTGGGCGATTGCAAGCTTGTCAAACCGCCCGGCAAGTAGCCAATGCATTTCAAGTCCACGTGAAGACCATATACAGCTCCAGCAACGGTGCCAGACCACCAACACGACAGATGACAGACCACGTAGTGGAAGACCAAGGGTCACCACCCGACGTCAGGAACGTCAGATTGTGCGATAGCATCTTCAAGATCGCTTTGTTACTGCTGCGGAAACTGCTCGACAGGACATATCCGCGACACATTAGTGTGGACATCGTGCATCGACGATTGACGAGCAGACACCTCCACTGTCACAGGCCACACCGAGGACCCATTCTGACACCACGTCATCGGCGGGACCGTCATCCGTGGGCAACACAGCACCAGCAGTGGAGAAGAGTCCTCTTCTCAGACGAGAGCCGTTACTGTATCTCAACAGCAGATGGCAGAGAGAGAGAGAGTATGGCGACGCCGTGGGAAACGTTATTCGGATGCGTGGGGTGATCCGAGCACCATGGTGTGGGGTGGAATTGGTGTTGCACAGAGGGTCAGTCCTGTGGTCTTCCAGAACATCGGTCCAGGGAGAGGCAATTGTGTCACAGCGGCTCGGTACATTGAGACCACACGCCATACCTCATTTGGCACGTCGCCGCAACCACGAGTTTCAGCATGATAATGCCCGTGCCCACACTGCGAGAGCAACAAGAGACTTCCTCCAGCAGAATGGCATCAGATTCATGCAGTGGCCAGCCCTCGGTCCCGATTTTAATCACATTGAGCACTTGTAGGACGATTTTCAAAGACGGCTGAATGACGTCCGACCAAGGCCAACAACTGCAGCTGAACTGCGTCAGGCGTTCCTCAGAATGTGGGCTCAAGTGCCTATAGCCTTCATCAACCGCCTCATTTATTCCATGTATCACTTTAAGAACATTTGACACTTTAATTTCAACCTTGATGATCAGTTTTGCCAAGTTTCATCTATTTAATATCTCTCAAAGTATGTTACAGTGTTTGGACAAATAAGGTTTCTCATATATCTATTCATGGTGACGTTTCTTTTGCGGTTCAGTATATTTTTCTTGACTGTGTGATAAGAGCAGGCCACCAATACCTAGAATGACATTTAGTCCCGAAAATAAAAATCCAAATGGAGCCCAGAACAATCCTTAATTGCCTCGGGCAGTTACGATTTGCCAAATCATTCTACACTTGAGTTGGACTCCTTTTTATATTTTTCTTTTGGGTCTGGGAGACTGATACCATGAAAATATCACTACTATTTGAGTAAGTATGGTCTTCCGCTGGTTTTAGCAATAATACAGCAATATGACAGCGGGGACACCAGAAGCGGGATTCACACATTGTACCCAGGTGGGGGGAATCGAACCCTGACTTTATCGTTGAGATCGAACGCTTTAACCACTGTGGAAGTTGCATCAATGAAGACGGGATTGACATGGATTTCAATATCTAAATTATTTAAATGTAACCGGTGACAGAGATTGGATAAGAATCGTTACAGTATTAAAACAATACAGAAGCTGAAAATAGTAAGTGAGTATGGTTTTACGCCGTTTTTAGCAATATTCTAGAAATATCACAGCGGGGGACACCAGAAATGGCTTCACACATTGGACCCATGTGAGTAATCGAACCGGGTCTTCGGCGTGACGAGCTAAAGTTTTAACCACAACCCCTACGCACCTTTGAAATCCAGAAAACAACCCTGCCTTTACACATAGCTTCGCAACCTACCTACCTACAACGTTGTCACATACATCACACTTGATTCATGCTCGAGAAAGATTAAAATGCGGAAGGTTTGTCGCAGATGTTTTGAGATGTCGTTTAATTATTTGTTGATTTTTAAGTCAATAATTAAAAGGCTGCGATCCTTGCATCGTTTAATATCAATTTTCATTTTAAATATCTCAACAAAACAGTTTCATCGAACTCTTAACACCGCCATGATTTCATCCATGACACTGCTGTAGAAATTTGGCAAACGCTGCAAAGCCGAAAAGAGTGTGCATAAATATCCTAATATGGTCAAATGAATATGGCGATATGTATCTCCGTGTACCATATCTCTATTCTGTTGTGATTTATGATACAATGCAATGAAACATCGAGGATGGGTACTAACTTGAGTATGTCGTCACTTACCATTCCAAATCATCTTCACATTACTATACGTTATTTTATTTTTGTTATTTGTGCTTTTCTCCGCCCAAATTACGATCTACTAATCAGTCGCCATGTTTATCCGCCGCTAAAGTCAATCAGAACATCCGATTGCTGGGATTCGACATATTGATGTTAATTTGCTTTAGAATGAAAGCGTGGACGACCCTTAACCCATAATACCGGCCAGATGTCTGCCATACAAGTACTCTTCCTCCGCTGATAGAACTCACGGGGGGTGCATGTTTGCTGTCGTCTGCCAGCGGTCTCCATGGTTACATAACTATCGTCTGCTTGACGCAGTTTGACCAGCACCCGAACCTGGGTCCGAGGCCAAGCAACCCACACTCGCTGACAGTAAACAACATTGCTCAGATTAAAACTGACATGTTTACAAATCCCCCGAGAAAGAACACCAGGCAGTGTACAGTCACACAGAGGACTTCTGTATAACATCTCCATACAAGCCTATAAAGGATTACGTCAGTCCACTGCCTAAAGCCGGACCAGTGACTGATGGGTGAAATGTCAGTAAACCGAATAATTTATACATACTTTTAAAAAGATATTTGTTTCCGTAAAACAGTTATTATCATATATTTATCAGATACGGAATAATGAGCTTATTACGTTAGGTCGGAGTAAAAGGTATCGTGTGAAAAAGTTGGTATTTTTAAAATATCTTTTCATGTTAAATTGGAGAGCTTATTACATTGTATGATGTCATTCTGTCCTGTACATGGCAACGAACGTGTCTTCTGTCCCTGGATCCAACATTAATAAAATCTGTCAACAATTAAATAAGTTTTAACTTTGCTCTTTTCCCCCTTTCAATTAGTAAGGCCGTTTTGTCGGTATATGTACATAGGGTGATGTTGGTAAATCACGTGACGGTGATTCACGTGGTAGACCCACAATGCCCCGTGCGGGAAACATCCTGGAGTCAGTTCTTTAATAGCCCGATAATGATGTAAATGGCATATCTGACATGTTTCACATCGCAAATGGCGCCTTCGCCAACATAGACGAACGCTGACGAAATAAAATATTGACTCATTGACAAAATGAAAAAAATCTTTGAATATTTAAATAAAGTAAAATGAATGGAATTATATATTTTATCATTTCAATATAAATATCAATGGAAGCATGTGATACTACACTGGCATGGGCTGAGAAAAATTGGTCAGTGATGACTTAAATATGTCGACAGTCACTATCATAGACGGAAAAATGATTCTCATGGGCAGCGTTTGCAGTACGTGACCAGATTGGGTTGAAACAGATGATTTGTATGTTCCCGACGTATATGTAAGTTCAAGCCCTGGTATACATGACAATGTCTATATTGTAGATCGGCACATATAATCACTTGACATCGAGGAGAAAGACGCGTCCCGCTAAGCTCATTACCAATACGGAACTCACGTCAGCTGGTTATGCTGACAACATCTCAGATAAAGCATAGCCTCTGCGGCTGTTTTTAAATTCGGGGGATAAATTTACATTTCGGAAGCTAAATTTGCTCCCCTGTGTTGCTACATACCAAAATTCCTAAGACAAAATTAAGGCGAAAATGTATTTACGTTTTCCACTTTGAAAGAGACTTTTCACGAAGTTAACACATGTGATTTGAAAATAACCTTATTTATAACTTCAATTCAGGATAAAGGTACAAAAAATATAAAAGTTGTATTCTACACAGATTTTTAATGGAATTATTTCGCTCGGAGCTAGGCACGTTACTGTCAATTTACATAGAAGAAAAAACTCGTCAAATATCCTTCTTCTGCAAGCGTTCAATCGCGTTTGATATCTGACCTATTTTCCCTTCTCACCACGAGGAGGCTCTCATAACACCTTTCTATTGCTTCATGTATTGGGGTATAGGCGGATGAATACCCGGTAAATATACCCGTATACACCAGCCGGGCTTCGCGTCCTCTGTAGTCGGGTACACAATACACCGCGATTCATAACACAGGCTTGCACCAAGGGGACCTTACCCTTCAACAAATAAAGAAAAACTGGGCTGTAAAAATCCCGCTTTACACTGTTATTGGATGAGGGAGAATTTTCTGTTTTTATATATTTTAGTTTCACCAGGGGCCATTATTAGAATGATCTCTGGTTTTACATGTTTAGTTTTATTTTACACTGCTTCTAGTTTACATAACGTTTGGTCTCCATGCCGAGAGGCTAAGTAATGATTCAGTATTAAAAATCGATACTTCTTCGATTTTCAAAATATTTTTTCGCAAATTGAGCTTTGTATTTCTTTCTTGTCATGTCTACTTTACAGTTGAGGTCGAGGTTGGGTGAGTGAGAGAGTTAAAATTTAACTTCGCACCGGCGCTGTCACAGCTATACAGGGACTTTTATGACAAGCAGTTAATCAACAAATTACAATCTACCAACTTGATCACAGTTCAAATAGTTCAAACAAAAAACTGTATCCTAGTTACCATTTAAAAAAAGAAAGAATGTTTGTTTGTTTTTTTAAAAATAATTATTTTTATACGTTGAAACCCTGAACATGATATGGAGTGTTATATATTCGAATATTATTTGGTTTCTTCATTCCATGAGTCCGGGGCTAATGCAAAGTTAGAGTACATGTGTCAATCATGAATACAAACCGAAACGTAATATTCTACTATTTTACAAATATTGTAAATAAATACTGAATGCTTGACACAGGTAAACATTGCATGTCTACATAGACGTGTAAAAATTACCTCGACAAATCCCATGGGTAGCTCCTTGGGTGCCCCCTAGACATTCGTATCCAAGATCACTGTCACACTCAGATCCCGGGGGGTCCTCTTCTCCCTCAACGTACCCACACGTCTCCCCAAGCATGCGCTGGCAGCACCCCCGGGCATCCCGCGGCCTGTCAGCCCTACAGGGGTCGAGCGATGTACAGTTGCTTCCCAGTGCCTCGCCTACAACGGCGAGGATCACCAGTAGATACCAAGACGAAGCTACCCCCGACATCCGTGTAAAGTTTCTGAGAGGAATCACATTGATGAACATGTAGCCGATGTAGTCTTCAGGGTAGGTGTAGCCGTGTTGTCGTTCTCCACCCGACGTCCAACTCAGCTGACTCACAATAAATATACTCGGGGCCCCTCAGCGTACACAAACTTGTGCCTGTACTCAATACGTGAGCTCTGAACACCATTGGGCGTATGGATACGAGAATGAAAAGTGATACCCATTGAAGACGTTGAGATATTTATAGCCCGCCAGGCTGCCGAAGCGGTTCGCTCCTCTACACGCTCATCAGGGTAACGGGTGTGGTGGTGGCTACGTCGTCTCAGACGTTGTCGCTCACAATAAAAGTGCTGTCGCTGCCTCCAAACCTTCGTCAGTGTTAGCGTCGTTTCAGCATATTGTTAGCCATTCAGTCGTGCCTTCGGCTTGCCCGGACATTTGCTCTCAATATTTGCCCAACAACTCAAGGAAAACAATACACAGAAAGCGTCAAACTTGAGATTCTCAAAGTGTGATTTCGCGTGAAATGACTAAACATTCTAAGAAAATTTACATTCTGATTTCCCACCGGTCCGTTGTGTAGTATTCAGGGTTATCCGACTGACCAGTCATCATTTGTATTGTCCGATCGCCTCTGTGGAACCAAACATGCAGACAATTGTTTATCTCAAAATATTCCCAGCTGTGTGTTAATGCGGGTTAAATCTCACCGATGTTCCCGACTTCCAGGTAAAAAGAAGTCTCTTTGTAAAAAGTCCTCTTGTGTTCTAGCTGTTGACTTCCAAACTCCTCACAACACTTTCACAACCTCGCATCATCTGGTTTCAACATATCCGCGTTCTGGTGTAGACCTTCGTACACGCCTGACGCGATCTTCAACCCTGTATGGAGTACACAACACATGTAAAGACGTTTTGTTTTTGCTAAGATGTTCTATTGTTACATGCCAGCTGTAGGCTAATGCTGCAGCAGTGTCTTGGAGCACGCTACATCGGGAATGTCAACGATCTAATCTTACTTCCTTCTTTAAATAATCCGCATTTATTTTTTATTCCAATCGTTAAAAAATACACGCTTCCCTTCCAATGTGTGAATTTAAATAGATTAGATTGTTTTCCATTACTACGTGATGTTTTCAAAAAATAAATAATTAAAACTTGAATTAACACTGTTTCTCTAAGACCAAACATGTGCTCAACACCTTGTCCTTTACGTCATAACGTAAGCAGTAACAATCAGTATAAAGATTATCCCATAAGAATATGTATGATGGACGGGTGTTGTTCATGAAGAATAATCCAATAATGTAATGAGTGAGTAAAAGAGTGAGTTTTACGCCGCTTTTAGCAATATTCCAGCAATATCACGGCGGGGGACACCAGAAATGGGCTTCACACATTGTACCCATGTCGGGATTCGAACCCGGGTCTTCGGCGTGACGAGCGAACGCTTTAACCACTAGGCTACCCGACCGCCCCAATAATGTAATGACATGTCATAAGGGACAAAAGCTTTTCTTGAGACGATCAAATTTCTACATTCATAGAGTTTCGGTTTTGAAAACGAACACAAACATTATATACCTCTTTCTTTCATAAATTTCAGCATTTTAGTTTCTTTAACGATCATTTGTATGCTGTTCGTGTTTCTTTTGTCGGTGAGTATATATGACAAGGTTACCTATGTATTATGACATGTTTCATGATAAAGCCCACGTTGTAATGTCGTACACGTTGTGATGTCGACGCGTCAAGTGGTCTGCTTCTTGGGGCCGTCATGAAGAAGTGAGTAGGTAATAAAGGATATCATTGTTATCTATCGCGCTAAGACCACGCAGTTGCTGGGTCTGTATCTCAAATACAGCAAGACGTCCCCGTGATGTGACCGCGCGCACCTGTTGGGCCACCCACTACCTGCATCTAATTAGTCCCCTACAGGTAACCCTTGTTCGGTGCACACTGGGGCTTTCATGGCACCATTTGGTCGTATTTACAATTCGCCTGCAGTTCATGTGACTTTATTGACCGTGTATTTGTACTGTTTTATCGCTTTTAAGAATAAGAACCATTACATGGTTTAAAGAGCTATCTGTTTAGTGATTGCCTCATCTATTCAGCTTGTGAGATAGGACAAATAAATGTGTGAGCAGTTCTGGTTTATCAGTTCCGATAACAGTAGGGTCTGTCTATTTTCAGGAGATCCGGGGGCCACGGGTGGCCCAGTCGTCTTAGGCGCCGCGATTCGCTATGCAGAGTTGCGTCCCTTGGGCACGCCAGAAACCTATTACTGTGGGTTCGAATCCCGGTTCGCCCCGATTATGTTTCTAGGTTTGTCAACACCATACCCGTGCTCGTGGGTTTCACCGAAGTGGTAAACGTCTGAGACCTGCATCACTCCGGGCTTTCCTCCCACATTAAGCTGACACACCGTGATATAACTGGAATACTATTAAAAGCAGCGTTAAACTCAACTCACTCACTCAGGAGGTCCAGTCGCCCCTGTGGTCACGTAACGCGTCAGAATCCGCTGTTGGTTTTAGGCCACATACACAGACGCACACGCACGCGCCCACACAACTCAGCATTTTAAACTAATACAATCAAACAATAATTCTCTTTACACGTACAAGTTCATTGTGTACTGTGTTGTATCTTCGCTCAAAAAAGGCACAATACACAATCAAACCTTCTTTTTTTAGCGTCATTTATATATAGTAGAGATTAATTTAGTAAGAGTATATGTGATCGATTGGCCTGTTAGAATATGTTCCGTAAAGTGGTGTTTGATGTTGCTGTTAGCAATATTACTACAATAGCAGGGTGGAGGTCACCATGAACGGACTTCGGACGGTGCACCCGGAGCTGTACTGTACAACCATGTGTACATCTACCCATATACACCAACACAGTACACCCATGTGTACATCTACCCATATACACCACCACAATACACCCATGTGTACATCTACCCATATACACCACCACAGTACACCCATGTGTACATCTACCCATATACACCAACACAGTACACCCATGTGTACATCTACCCATATACACCAACACAGTACACCCATGTGTACATCTACCCATATACACCACCACAGTACACCCATGTGTACATCTACCCATATACACCAACACAGTACACCCATGTGTACATCTACCTATATACACCAACACAGTACACCCATGTGTACATCTACCTATATACACCAACACAGTACACCCATGTGTACATCTACCCATATACACCACCACAGTACACCAATGTGTACATCTACCCATATACACCACCACAGTACACCCATGTGTACATCTACCTATATACACCACCACAGTACACCCATGTGTACATCTACCCATATACACCAACACAGTACACCCATGTGTACATCTACCCATATACACCACCACAGTACACCCATGTATACATCTACCCATATACACCACCACAGTACACCCATGTGTACATCTACCCATAAACACCACCACAGTACACCCATGTATACATCTACCCATATACACCACCACATTACACCCATGTGTACATCTACCCATATACACCACCACACTACACCCATGTGTACATCTACCCATATACACCACCACAGTACACCCATGTGTACATCTACCCATATCCGCCACCACAGTACACCCTTGTGTGTACATCTACCAATATACACCACCACAGTACACCCATGTGTACATCTACCAATATACCCCTCCACAGTACACACATGTGTACATCTACCAATATACACCACCACAGTACACCCATGTGTACATCTACCCATATCCGCCACCACAGTACACCCATGTGTACATCTACCCATATCCGCCACCACAGTACACCCATGTGTACATCTACCCATATGCACCACCACAGTACACCCATGTATACATCTACTCATATACATCATCACAGTACACCCATGTATACATCTACCCATATACACCACCACAGTACACCCATGTGTACATCTACCCATAAACACCACCACAGTACACCCATGTGTACATCTACCCATATCCGCCACCACAGTACACCCATGTGTACATCTACCCATATACACCACCACAGTACACCAATGTGTACATCTGCCCATATACACCTCCACAGTACACACATGTGTACATCTACCAATATACACCACCACAGTACACCCATGTGTACATCTACCCATATACACCACCACAGTACACACATGTGTACATCTACCCATATCCGTCACCACAGTACACCCATGTGTACATCTACCCATATTCACCTCCACAGTACTCCCATGTGTACATCTACCCATATACACCACCACAGTACACCCATGTGTACATCTACCCATATACCCCTCCACAGTACACACATGTGTACATCTACCTATATACACCACCATAGTACACCCATGTGTACATCTACCCATATACACCACCACAGTACACCCATGTGTACATCTACCTATATCCGCCACCACAGTACACCCATGTGTACATCTACCAATATACACCACCATAGTACACCCGTGTGTACATCTACCAATATACACCACCACGGTACACCCATGTGTACATCTACCAATATACACCACCACAGTACACCCATGTGTACATCTACCCATATACACCACCACAGTACACCCATGTGTACATCTACCCATATACACCTCCACAGTACACCCATGTGTACATCTACCCATATACCCCTCCACAGTACACCCATGTGTACATCTGCCCATATACACCTCCACAGTACACACATGTGTACATCTACCAATTTACACCACCACAGTACACCCATGTGTACATCTACCCATATACACCACCACAGTACACCCATGTATACATCTACCCATATACCCCTCCACAGTACACCCATGTGTACATCTACCCATATACCCCTCCACAGTACACCCATGTGTACATCTACCCATATACCCCTCCACAGTACTCCCATGTGTACATCTACCCATATACACCTCCACAGTACACCCATGTGTACATCTACCCATATACCCCTCCACAGTACACCCATGTGTACATCTACCAATATACACCACCATAGTACACCCATGTGTACATCTACCCATATACACCACCACAGTACACCCATGTGTACATCTACCAATATACACCACCACAGTACACCCATGTGTACATCTACCTATATCCGCCACCACAGTACACTCATGTGTACATCTACCAATATACAGCACCACAGTACACCCATGTGTACATCTACCAATATACCCCTCCACAGTAAACATGTGTACATCTACCAATATATACCACCACAGTATATGGGTAGATGTACACATGGATGTACTGTGGTGGTGTATACGGGTAGATGTACACATGGGTGTACTGTGTTGGTGTATATAGGTAGATGTATACATGGGTGTACTGTGGTTTTGTATATGGGTAGATGTACAAATGGTGACCTCCACCCTGCTATTGTAGTAATATTGCTAACAGCAACATCAAACACCGCTTTACGGAAAATATTCT